GTTTCTTACTCTTCTCATGCATATCCAGTAACAATTCTAGAATTCTGGGGTACCCTCTCCCCATCATTTCTCCTTTTAAGAACCTTCTCTGTAAGTATAAGATTTTAGAATGTTTTTATTTCATTAAATGTGAATACAGAATTTCTGTGTTAAGATTATCTGTTGATTTTTTAATAAGACAACTATTATTTGTTTTGGATAGAATGAATCCATTAAACATTTAATGTTCTCTAAAAATTCATACAATGCCTAATTGTGTATCCGTATGAGTTTGGTATTGATCGTTACAATACTCTGCAGTGAAATTTGTTGTCTTTCACCGAAGAATAATTTATACTTCTCTAATAACAAGCACATTGAAAAAAGCTCCTTTTTGTGCCTTGTATTTGCCTTTATGCTTTATGTACACAGCTCCCTTTTTGTGTTTGATCATTACAACCAACCAATAATACAACTGCAGCGAGTGTCACTTCATTCCCGAATAAATACATAAACATTATTTCACTCCAGGATCCTCTTTCTGAACAATCGTAATGCAAAGCAGCTAGAATTTGTTAGAATGATGTAAGGCTTGTACGTGGCTTGTTAAGAAGTATTTAGATTTAAAACATATGCTGTAGCAGTTCCATTGAATATATATATATATATATATATATATATATATCTTATATAACCTATATAACTACGTTAGCATGCTTTACAGTTGTTTAAGTTCATTTCAAGAAATACATAGGAGCTGCTCATTTAACTTATCTGTTAATTTGCACTGGAAAAATACACAAGGGGATATACAGGGGAAGAAAAAAAGTAAGACATAAAAGATTATAATTATTGACAGTATATTGCTCACTCTGTGGCCAGCAGTATTGTGCAGTTTCTAAAGAGGTTTTAGTGGCAATCCAAAGTTGTGGATTGCTGGAAAAAAATATTTGCCTGTGCTCAGCCCACAGACAGAGTTTCAATGAGTTAGGTTCATCAAAATGGTAATGTAAATGTGGACCCCGTGCTCACTGTGCCTAGAGTGGTATTAATTAAACCTCGCTGACAAGACCCAAAGAAAACCAAGATGATTGTATGGAGTTACTGTGTTTCTCGTGAAGAGAGAACTTGCCAGCATTTTAGTTCTGGTTTGCCCTTATGGGTGGGATCAGTCTGATGTTGAATGTTATAGGTTTACTTTGTAATGGCACAAGTGAGAAAAAACTATTTTGAGACCTCAGCAGGACTTATCTAAGGGCAAGGTATTGAGTTTCTCTAAGCTTTTGTCCATTCTCATAGTTCATATACTCTCTTTTTTCGGGGTCATCAAAATGCCTCAGGAAGCAGTCAGAGGGCCCTTTGGTCAAGGCCTCTCTTTTGCTTGTCTCCAAGCCTGGTGAGGAATGGAGGCGCAGCACATCTCAGCTAAGAGCCAGGTTATAGTAGAGGTACTTTCAGGAGGCAGAGGCATTCAGAATGCTTGGTGAGGGAGCTGGACGAAGATGATGGTTCCAGTGAGGATCGGTCTCAAACTTCAAATCTTTCCCTTCAGCTTAGGATGGAACTGACCTCCTTGCACATGTGACGTTGGCATGTACCAGCACCCTTTCATCACAGGCTCTCTGTCAAATGGCGGTTCAATGTCAGATATGGAGTCCAAATACAAGGGGGGTTTCATGTGCCATATGTTGCTACAGTGCTTCTGCTGCAGCTGGATGTCCTGATGTTAGTGACCAGCAGCTTTCCGATTTGGAGAAGGAGGTCACTGTTCCTTTAGAGGGACCTGTTCCATGATCAACTTCTTCAGCTAGTGAGTATGCATGTGCAGGACTATGGGTTTGGAAAAGTTATGCCCATGGCTCAACTAATGTCCAAAATGTAGGCAAGCACACTTCTTTCTTTAGGATTTCTATGCAGGGTTTCGGCTTCCCTTTTTTTTAATTCTGGTTCAACAGACACATCAGTTGTAAATAACTCTATAATATGCATGCATTTAATCATGCATTTTTTCATTGTGGGTTTATAAAAAAAAAAAAAAAATAGCTTGCCATTGCTGCAGGTCTCTTTTCTGCAGCTTTTGTAAGCCATCTGCTTTTACCTCAACCCAGACTTTCTGTGGATGTCAACTCACAGACTTCCCAATGCAGCTCAATAAAAAAATCTTTACAAGGCAGGTGTTCTAGGGAAATTCCCTGTCTTTTGAGTTTACCACCACTGCTAAACTACCAGGAAGTAACAGGATTGGTTGTCTGACAGCCAGAGGGGAATAACAATGGTAAATTATAAATGTGGCAATTTCTATTGTAATCTAAACTTTTTTTTAATGAAAAAAAGAGGAAACCCTTTCATACAAATAGCACTTTGGCAAGAGTAAGTACTTTAAGTGTGTGGAGAGTACCTTTAAATGTGCTACTTCCATGCTATAGTCCTGGTTTCAATTCTCACGTTTATCGGCTATGAGTAGTGGATAGAGAAATAAATAATAATTAAAGGACCACTATAGTGCCAGGAAAACAAACTTGTTTTCCTGGCACTATAGGCTCTTTAGGTCCCCCCCACCCACCCTCAGGGTCCCACTCTCGCCAGGCTGAAGGGAGAGGAAGGGGTTCATCACTTACCTTTCTCCAGCACCGGGCTCCCTCAGCGCTGAGGAAATCTCCTCCCTCTTCCGACGTCAGCGCTGAATTCAATCAGTACATTCAATCCGTGCATAGGAAAGCATTTCTCAATGCTTTCCTATGGACGTCAGCATCTTCTCACTGTGATTTTCAAAGTGTAAGCGCGGAAGCGCCTCTAGCGGCTGTCAATGAGACAGGCACTAGAGGCTGGATTAACCCTAATGTAAACATAGCAGTTTCTCTGAAACTGCACGGATGCTTTTTTACTGCAGCTTCCTAAAATATAATTTGCTTTCAAGGAGTTAATATGTTTAGTAAGTTGCCTGCTTTTTGAAGTGGTCATGGTGGTAGGAGTCTGGATATGGAGTGTTTACTCTGCACATCCAGAGTAATTCTTAATAGTGTGCTGGGAGCAGGTTGCACCCTCAGCACACATGATGTATTAGAATTATGGGATGCCTAATGTCAATTCTGTGCATAAATTACTTCTGTCATCAGCTCGCACTGCACGTTAGCAACAGACATAACAGGTCAAATCCTCCAATCAAAGATTTCTTTATGAAAAGCTTTTGATTGGACCTCGGCATGGCTCCCGTGATGTCAGACAAGGGTGCGCAGAGCAGTGCTGAGGAACTTTGCCCACCTCTGGACTAAGGTAAATAAACTATTTTAAAAATGCGCTTCTTCCAGCATTTTTTTTGTAGGGGGAACTGATAGAATTGTTCCAATGGGCATAATTCTATCATCAGTTAAAAAGGGTTAGGGAAACCCTTAAATTTCTAACTTTGCACATCTGTTCAGAGTTAGGATTTAAATAAAAAGAGTAAAACTTCAAGAGGGCCAATAAAGGCAAATAATACTTTAATAGCTTAAATCTGGGCACTGCCAAATCTAATACTATCAAACTATAGTCATAAATGGAAGGCTTGGGATCAAGAGTAAGATGAACCAAGATAGACGATATTCCAGATGACGATACAGTAACAGACAGAAATCGATAAGCTTACAGCACAAATGTTTTGTTTTGGTTCTGTCACCAGTATTATCCATTTCTTTTTCTTTTCCTGTAATTTTTAAGGACACTAAAAGCAATTTATTTTATGTCTTGACTTTCTTTTTTTCGCTTTCTTTCCCGTGTTTGTGAAAGCACAATGGAAAAGAAAAGACAACAGCTCCAAAGTCCTTATTTTTAAAGAAATTTTCTAATTTCATAGCATTATTTTGATTTACTATCATATTTAAAGGGACACTATAGTCACCAGAACAACTACAGCTTATTGAATTTGTTCTGGTGAGTAGAATCATTACCTTCAGGCTTTTTGCTGTAAACACAGTCTTTTCAGAGAAAATGCAGTGTTTACATTACAGCCTATTGATAACTTCCCTGGCCACTCCTCAGATGGCTGTTAGAGATCCTTCCTGGGTCATGGCTGCCTAAAATGCATCCAAACATTCAGTGTCTCCACCCTCTGCATGCCGACACTGAACTTTCCTCATAGAGATTCATTGATTCAATTCATCTCTATGAGGAAATGCTGATTGGCCAGGGCTGTGTTTGAATCATGCTGGCTCTGCCCCTGATCTGCCTCCTTGTCAGTCTCACCCAATCCTATGGGGAGGCATTGTGATTGGGTCAGGCTACCACTTCTGATTATGTCAGCAGACTGCTTGTTTTTTCTAAGACAAACAGCATGCAGAGTTACAGCTTCAGTGTTGAATACAGTAAGATTCTTACTATATTTATGGAGGCATGAGGGACCCAGGGGGGCTAGATGGTGGTTTTAACACTATAGGGTCAGGAAAACATGTTTGTGTTCCTGACCCTTTAGTGATCCTTTAATATAATTTAAAAAAAAAGTAAATTAGAATATGGCACTGTGAATTATTTTTAATAGCAGCAGTCTAATTAGTGCAATAACCCAAAACAATAAACTGTATCATATACAATAACCCTCTAAGGTGTGCTGTGCTTTTACATGAATTAGAAATATATGTAATTTTGTTAAAAAAGAACAAAATTTATAAAAAAACTATAAATAGGTAATTCTTCAAATACACACATGTGCTGAATAAAGTGCTTTGTACTAACACAATAAACACAAATCCTTGTGAATAAACGCTTGCATTAGCAGTAACATCTATATTATTGCATATAGAAAAGAGAGAAAATAATATATATAGAATAAAGCCGTATATACACGTAGAGAAGTAATTAAATCTCTCACAAATGCAAACACAAGTACAGAGCAGGTAGAGGATGCTCAAACTATAAATACTCCAAGTGTTTTAGTCCAGGTCTGGTGATGCTTCATACAACACATACAGAAGTGATGGGTATTTTGAAACAGGTTTTATTGATAGATTAAAATGCATGAGTAAGGAACAAAAATTCTTTATTGCCTCCTAATACCAGTCATCGGCTCCAGTTTGATTAAATCCTCAACATCGATATCCAACCCATGAACACTCTGAGTTGGTCGCTGTACTTTCTTGGGATAGGGAGTAGGTGCATGATGATGTGTTTCACAGTCTCTATGGCTTCATCAGATGACTCATACAGTCCAGTATATTCCTAAAAACAACATGGGATGAGGGATTTTTCACCTTTAAAGAGAGTAAGGAAAGTAGACTAAGTAGGGGAAGAATTAGATAACAACAAAGGAACATGATGAAGGATATCCACTGAAAATGAATAATTAATAATACACTTACAATATCAAATAATCAAGTTAAAGTTTTAAATAAAGATTTGAAATTTAGATGTAGATATGCTAACGTTTTCTAGAACATTAACATTATAGAAAAAAAATACAAAATACATAGATCTTTATCTACACCATGCTATAGAAAGGATACATCAGATATCATTAGACTTCATTAGTATTTTGAGGGGTGAGTGTTTGGAGGACATATACATGTTCGTTATGAGTGATGCTTCTCCCCATACACATCCATTCCACATGATAATGACCGTGATACAATAGAAAGTTATTTAAGTAGGAAAGACATATAAATTTGCTAAAGACCATGTTAATTTTCTTGTGGAAGGTATAAGATGGATTATAAATGATAGTTATTTATTTTTAATTTTTAATTTTTATCTTAAGTTTTAGGGTAATGCAATGGGGACCACATTTGCTCCCAGCTCTGCCAATTTAGTTATGTCGTGCTGGGAAGAGAATTTTATTTTTGGTAATTCTATATGGGCAGCAAACCTGGTCACCTATCACAGATTTATAGATGATGTATTTTCAATGTTTTGGATAATTCTGTAGAGCAACTTAACGATAATGATTGGGGAATTAAATGAACTAGTCACTATAACAAAATGAATAACTTTTTAGATATGGAAATTTATGTCAAAGGAAATACACTAAAAACTAAAATAAATAAAAAGATGGATGCAAATAATGATATGCTATATAATAGTGGAAACTATACCTCTTGTTCTGCTTGTTCCACATGTTCACCTATATAAACTGCTATATCAGAAGGATGGATTTTAGTGTAAGGTTAAAGTGGTATAAATAAAATGACTGCTTTTTTTTTAAAAAATCTTTTAATTGTTTATAAAATTTGATTTGGTCCATGAGGAAGTCCCAAGTAAGGGAAGAAATGTGTAGGACCTCATATATATATATATATATATATATATATATATATATATATATATATAGTTCCTGGATGGTTTTGTAAAATGTATTTTTCCCATCTCAAGTGATGACTATGTCATCTTTTGGTTTGGGTGTGGCTATAGTGATGTTATTTTTGACTATTTTTGTAACAAAATATATTTTCTTTTTTGACCTCTAGCTTCATAGCAAAATAATTGATGATTTCTGATTAATCCTAGTATTCTCTTATTGAATAAGTCTAATTTTTTAAGTTAGTAGCATAAACCATTGAATTTTCCAAATATATAATAATTGTATTTTTATGACAAATTAATATCAAATTTACAGGCATATCAAGTGCAGTCTATTTTAATTTTTTTGTATATTATTGTAACTTTTTTAAGTTAACTTGTCCATGTCATGGAGGAAAGTTACAGGAAGGGAAAAGGGATGGAAACATATTTCTGCTCATTTTTCTTAATACAGGTGGTCCTCATTTTATGACCTACAGTTTTATGATGTCTCACACTTACGACTCTAATGTGGGGGTAAGTGCGAGCTGTCGTGGGGATTAGAGGGATTCCCTGTTCTGCTGCATTTGTCTGTGTTTGGTGAAATTTCCCCGAACATAGATGAACGCACCAGAGCAGGGAATCCCTCAACTACTCACTTACCGAACAATTCATTCTATGACAGGGCGTAAGAATGGAACCTGGTTGGTAAGTGAGGAGTACCTTTAGTGCTACTTAAAAAACATTTTTTTTTGCAGATCCAGGATACTCCCGATAACAAACGTACATTGAATTTACGAGTCAAGTAAAGCAGATCTTTGTAGGTACAATATTATATATATATTTCAGTCTGAAAAAGCAGATTTAAATAAAGGATCTGGATTGTGATCATAAGGATCTGGATCATGAGCATGTCATGTAAGGGTACGTAGTGGCTATGTAGAAAATCTTATAGATTTGATAGTATTATGTCCCCACAGTTTGCTATTAAGATATTTTTCGTAATAAGAACTATAATTATAGTTACTGACAAAACAAACACACTTTTTTTTACTTTAATATATTAAAATTATAATTTTTTTCGAGGCCGTGCAATTTATAGTAATAATCCAGGTGTCTTTCATATATCATGATTTATTTCATAAAAGATAGCTGTAGAAAAGAACAACTATATTTAGGTTGGAGAAACTGCATTTAATATATAGCTTTGTACAACATGTCAGTTTATTTGATATGATTTTTCCAGGCATAAGGATGACCCTTCTGTCACCCTACAACAGCATACGCATGCAGGGCTATAAGCTGTCTCCCAGACATGTTTATTAGCAATATGATGGGAGCATGATACCAATCTAAGTTTAACCCTGTGGGCAGTGATAATATGCTGCAAAAAAAGTCGTCAAATTGTCTTTTCTTTTTAAAGCACATTGTCAAAAATATTCTAACAGCCTTTGCATAAATCACATAAAACGAGTGATCCATAAACATTTCAGACATGAGAAGTCTCTTTTTTAGTTGGAGATGTCCATGTAGTCTGCACTTGGAGATGTCCATGTAGTCTGCACTGATATAGCTGTACTGTGCAAACTCTGTGTATAGTGAAGAAGACCACACATTTTTTAAGATGTACAGTTGTAATCAAAATGTTTCAACTCCCATGGAAAATAAGGTTTATTGTCAAAGTACAGACTTTCAGCTGTTTGCGATGAACAAATCAAACAGAAGCAATTGAAATAGCTCAACACAATGAATGCTGCAAGTGGTTTATCCAATTTATGTTGAAAATGCAACTTATAATGACTTCTCCAGTCTTAAAATTATTCAATCCCTTCATGGTAAGTATCTTTAGTATTAGGTAGAGCATCCTTTTGCTGTTATGACCTGCTGCAAACGAGATGCAGTTCAGTAATACTCTTGGATGTGTGTGCTGCAACTGCCTTCTTCAAATCCCACCAGAGATTTTCTAAGTCAGGTGACTATGATGGCCTCTGTAGAAATTTCCAGGACTTCTTCTGCAAATACATCTTGATGGAATTTGAGGTATGTTTTGGATCATTGCTTTGTTGGAAGGTCCAATGATGACCCAGCTTCAGTTTCTTCAAGGCATGATGTTTTCTTCTAGGATTTACTTATACATTGCTGAATGCCTTCAACACACTGTAGATTTCCAGTGCCAGAGCATGCAAATCAGCCTCAGAGCATCACCAAGATACCACCATGCTTCAACTATAGTGCTAGGAATGCAACATTTTTAAAACTAAAACAATTCCGATGACTAAAATGCGACTAAAGCTAAAATGACTTTTTAGTCAAAAGACTATGACTAAAACTAAATTGTCATTTTGGGGGGAATTAGACACATGGAGGGAGCTGGAGGATTGAAACAGATGGGGCTGTGGGATTATGACACATGGGGCAACTGATGGATTGAGACACATGATGGTTGGAGGAATGAAACACATGAGGGGGCTGGGGGAATGAGACACATGGAGGACTGGGAGAATGAGACACATCAAGGGTCTGGGGGAAAGAGACACACAGGGACAAGAGGTGCACCTAAGGTCTCCAGTGCCCTTGGCGGGGAACTGTATCGGCGGCCCCCCACACTGCTCCCCCATCATGAAAAAACAAAAACTATTTCTTTAGATCAAAGTTTTCTACCATGTCCCATAAAAAAGTGAATAAAGAGGGATTGAAAGTTTCTGAGGTTTCTTAGGAACAGAGTCCTGCCTTTCACCCAAAGCCCCTCCTCTCTGTATGAAACCACTACAAGGAGAACTCCATCAGCTTCTTATACAATGGTTTCTCAATAATACCAATGATAAAGTTTGCTCTAATGAATCTTTGTTATCAGCCTCAAATCATAAATATATATTTACACTTGTGTGATGATGGTTATGTGCCAGTGGAATGCTTGTCACCATATTGCAAGCATAACACAGGCACATCACACCTTATGACAAGCATAACACAGGCCATTACACTTTATTGCAAGCACAACAAAGGTAAATCACATCTTTTTACATGCATAACACAGGGACATCACAGCACATCAGTGCTGGACTCTGGATAAAAACCAGCACTGGAAATAAACTCAGGCCTATAGCATTGCGTCGTTATACCAGTCCCATCTTATAACATTATATTCTAGTTTACAAAAGTGTAACCATGCATTTTAAATTACATTTAAAGAGTGTATTATTATTTATAGATACGACTAATATATACCCCTTCCCAGGGCAATATATATCACCAGTATTTACACAAGTTTATACCTCACACATTGCCCTGATATATACCCCATGCATAGGGCAATATATAGGCCCCAGTATGCACACAAGGTTATTTGAATTGCCCTGTGCAGGGGTACATATCAGGGCAGTATATGAGACATAACCTTGTGTATTTACTGGAGGCATATATTGACTTACCCAAGCACACAGATTGTTCTCCCAGGACTTGCTACAGCAACCAGGACTTACCCAAACACTGAGATTGCACTCACAGGACTTGCCCTAGCACCCAGGACTTACCCTAGCACTAAGATTGCACTCACAGGACTTGTTCCAGTACCCACACCAGCACCCAGGACTTACCCCAACACTGAGATTGCACTCATGGTACTTGCTTCAGCACCCAGAACTTACCCTGGCATTTAGATTGCACTTACAGGACTTGCCACAGGACTTCAAACAGCCTCTTGGATGCACCATGCAGGAGGGAAAAGATTTCCAGCAGCAAAAAAGACAACTTTACATTGGCCGCGAGAGTGCTCTCACTCTTGGTGAGGAATCTGCATCCCGCCACAGCCAAATTATTAAAGGCCGTATCACACAGGGGCCCCAGGGCACTCTGGCCATGTACCATATTACAAGTCTTTACTGTTGTCATTTTTTTTTTATAACTAACAAATAACTTGGTTGTGACAGTTGAACTGAGTATAGTGGGAACTGCATGTGATATATTGAGGTGTCTGGGT